AATGCAGCATTAGAACATCAAATTTACAGTTCAAGATAACACATTGAGATGCTCAGCATTACTGTACAAATCACATCTTCTCATTGCTTAAGTGATCTTCACGTCATTCATAGTCCTGGTCCTGGTTTTGTCTGAAATTGTATCACCCCTCTCCAGCACAGTAGAAGAAGCCCTCATTTACATTTCCCTCTTGTGTCACTCATTACTGCCCCCTTTTGCCCATCATCCCAACTGCAGCTACCTCCTCCCATTCACATATCAGACATGAAGAAATATACACAATATACTTTTCACAAAATGCAGGCTCTAGCTTCCTACATTCACATTGCACAGATGTTACCAAAATAACAAAAAAATTGTTCACCCAAAAATGAAATTCTGTCTTTTATTCACCCTCATGTTATTCTAAACCCATTTGCTGTTATTTCTTCCATGGAACAAATCACACTGAAATTAAATTATGAGAAATTATTATGAAAGCACCATAAAAATAGTCTGTATGACTTTTGTTATATTATCATTTGTGTGAGGAACAGACTAAAATGTAAATCACTATATGCTGATAATCTTCTTTTCCAGCAAGGATCATTAACCTCAAGAATCACATCAGTGAAGAATACATTCATCAATAACAACTTAAATTTCAGTCTGTTCCTCACACAAAGCTATTGTATGGCTTCAAAAGACTTAGAATATAGTGCAAAATTCCTAAGGACTACTGCTGTGGTACAAGTCACTTTAGATACCAACATCTTCTTAATGAATAAACGTAAATGTAACAGTTGGCAGGATGTTGGCATTTAGAATTTTGGGGGGGAAATGAACAGCGTACAACCCGTATACTGTTATTTTATTTTATTTATTTATTTATTTTTTTTCATCAAAAGGGTGTGACATCAAAACATCAATGACAGAACTTTCCATTTTGGATTATTTGTTCCTTCAGAAGTTTAAGTATAAGCTGTTTAACGTCATCTTTGAATCTAAAGGCTTTAATTCGTAAGCAGCTCAAATCATCTCCAGCTTTCATCTGTCCTGATATTATACGTAAATAAATCAATTTTGAAATCTTTGTAAGAGCATAATTGTACTCTCTGAATCTCCCCAGATTTCAAAAATATCGCTTCTCAGCTGTCATTGCACATTAAAATAGAAGTTTGCACATGCATTGTTATTAATAGTAACTATAAATCTGAAGCTAATAGTAGCTGTATGTCACCTTATTTTCATACTTTGAGTCTTGCTTCAAATAAAATAACTGATAACTACACAAAGATTGAATTAGATTGATTTCTTTTTTGCCCAGTGTGCTGTACAACATTTGTGAATGTTTCACATATCATAGTCATCTCCGTCTGAGGTGAATTGTGACCGTCTTTGACCTGTGCCCCTGGCCCCCATCACTGTGCCATATGATGGACCTGTGTGTGACTCACGCTACTGTCCTTCTCTCCCCCTTCTCCTTCCCTGCCTCTCCTCACTCCCCCCATCCTTATACCTCCTCCCCCTCCAACACAGAGACAGACCAGCCCTCCCTCGTGTGGTTTGACAGAGGCAAGTTTTATTTAACATTTGAAGGTAAGTTGGGGTTAATATCTAAGGACGTAGCGCGTGCACACTCTAGTCTCATCTGACATCTGACTTCCCCCTTTTTCTCACGCATTTGTTCCTTCATCAAAACCAACTGTGACACATTTGCTTGTCCTCCACACATCTGCTTTGCTCTGTATACCTGCTTTGCCATTTAATTGTTCATCTTGCAGTCATTGGCAGGTTTTCTTTTCTTTCAAGGATCATATCCATCATATTTTTACCTTCGTCACTAATACTGTGTGTTTTCTCGTTCTTGTTGTTTTGTGGCTCGTCTGCTTTGATCTCTTCATTTCGACTTTGGTCTTGGATCATGACACTATGATTCAGCTTCAAATGCATGCCATTGAAGCTGAGTGTTTTCTGTTTCAACTTCCTTTCTTTTTCTCTTCCATCTTTTGCATATATTACACTTATCCTTGATTGTTCTTATGAGTCCAAATTAATGTAATTGCATTCAAATTTAAAATTGAAACTAGAATAGAAAATGTGGAAAAGCATACATTTTGTGTGTTTAAAAAGAAATAAAGTAAAAAGAAAGAAAAAGAATACAAGTTGCATCTGCTAGAAATGGTACTAGACCTATTGTTGTATAATTTATGCTTACAATTTGAAAAATTTAATTTGTAACCCATTTATTGTTACGGTTTTGTGTAAAATCTGAAATTGTTTTCCAAACTTTGAAACAATGTCCATTTATTGTTCCTCAATATTACTCATAATCATTAAGGAACCGAAAGCATTGGAATTGGAATCTGCATTAGAATCATTAAATTCATTGTAATTCTCATCCCACTCACACAAAACCAGATTTAATATTCCTTAAAATCAATAAAAACGTTATGTTAATTAATACAGGTATACTTTGTGGTTTTAATGCCAATTTATTTACAAGTGTCTTTGCTACTTACTTGATCAAATTCAACCATATAAATAACTGCACATTTTTACTTTAGTTAAATGTCACGCCTAAGTTTCTTTTTTTTATTATTATTCTTGAAACCAGAGTGTTGAACTTGTGTGTGCATGTTGTTGTATGGGCCCTCTGTTGTATGGGCATCAATTTGTATTCCCCGCTAGTGAACTGCCCTTTGGTAACTAATGCTTGAGGTGAAATCTAATCATGATTGGCCTATTCAACATTCAAAATTTTAACAAGCTTGCTTAGAACAAGACAATACACTTTTACTGACAAGTCCTAACAGTGTGGTCAAGCAAAGTAAACTGAAAATAGAGTCCATCTGAAGAAGGCATTGTTCTAGATTTTAGGTCTGGGTTTAAGTGCAAATGAAGAAATTAGTTTTGTCAGCTGCTGATTGTCTCAAACTATGAGATGTTTTGTTTGTCTATTTGTTTGTATTTCCATTTTTCCCATTCTTTGTCACCCATGTATTTGCCTCTGTGTTGTATCTCAGTGACTGATCGAAATTGTGTTTTGTCTGTAAACACACTGTAACTGCGGGTGTGCGTGTTTTTGTTCTTTCAGGCTGTTCTCGAGGGCCCAGTCCCCTCACCATGGGGGCCCAGGACACACTGCCTGTTGCTGCAGCTTTCACAGAGACAGTTAATGCCTACTTCAAAGGAGCTGACCCCAATAAGTATGTGGCAATCTCAGAACAGCATATATATATATAAAAGCATGCATCAGGTATTTTAAAATGTACATAGTGTATTTGTTGATTTTATGTAATAAAAAATTAGATTTGCACCATTTTTAACGTGAAGACTGAATGTACCTGAAAATGTCAAATGGTGTAACTGCCTAAGAATGAGAAATATATTAAATATTTTATCCACCTAGATGGCATGTAAGCATACTCATAGAAATAAATACATAATTTAGTCTAATGCGGTCTAAGACTAGACTAAATGTCTAGTCTACATTTAGTCATTTGGACTAGACATTTAGTCTAATCATCTCTAAATGTACATTTTAATGCATTTTTTCAATATTTGGCAGGACATATGCTGAAAACGCCTCTGTTTTCAAAATAATCTTTGACAAATTATGTAAAAATTGTTAAAAAACCATGTTATTACGCTAAACTAGATGATTACATTTTATTCCACATTAATTTTCCTGTATATAATTATATTTTTAGGAAAAATACTGGTTACGCCAATTGACACAAACCAGTTACACCACCTGACCATGTTGCTTCTACAGCCAAAGGCCATTGTTTGTTGAAGAAATTGACACTGAAAATCAAGCATGACAGTCAACAAGTTCAGCTGAAGTGTTTTTTGTTTTTTTCAATGCTGAAAACAACATCTGGCAACAAGAAATCATCATAGTGATGAACAGTGAAGTCGTGTCTCGTATTGTAATTACAGTTAAGAAACAATATATGATACCAAGAAATGATCAGAGTGATGAACAGTGAACTCAAGTCTCGTGTTGTAATTTTAATTTTCGTATTGTAATTTTGTATTGTAATTTCGTATTGTATTGTGGCATCTATTGGGGGAAAAGGGGCTGTGTTATATCGTATTAATTATAAAATATTAGAAATTTAATGAATTGTATTTTACAGATGTAAATTGTAATCTTTGGTCAACATTCCTTTTATCACTGAATTTATGTTCAAATGTAGACACCCACTTCATTCTGCAACATTATTAAATCATGTATGTATATATTACATTATATAATATGATATTATATATTGCTTAAAGGGATAGTTCACCCAAAAATGTACTCACCCTCAAGCTATCCTAGGTGTATATGACTTTCTTCTTTCAGATGAATACAGTCAGATTTGTATTTAAAAATGTCCTGGCTCTTCTAAGCTTTATAATGGCAGTGAATGGGTGGTAATATTCAATAGTTCAATAGAAAGTCCTCCTGAAGCGAATTGATGCATTTTTGTAAGGAAAATATCCATATTTAAAACTTTATAAACCGTAATCTCTAGCTTCCGCTAATTGATGTACACTCATTCAAGAGAGAGTGTCGTTCCAGCAGATGATGTAGGATGTAGGCGTAGCGTAAGCTCAGGTGAGAATATGCTAGTCTCGCGAGAACCAAGTTTTGTTTACAACAAAGGAACACCAGTCTCCTCTTGGCTTTTATCGAAATCTTCCGACATTTTTCTTTACAAATCCTAGTTTTGTACTTTTTTGTCTGCATTTTGTTTTGCTCTCTCCTCTGTGCTTCCACGTTCATCACCTCTCACCGAAGCTTATGCTGTGCCTACATCTTATATCATCTGCTGGAACGGCACTGCAACGCAACGATTACGGTTACGATTAGAGATTACAGCTTATAAAGTTTTAAATATGGATATTTTTCCTACAAAAGCATATCGATTAACTTCAGGAGACCCCCCCTCCCCCCGTGGAGCACTTTTTTATGGTAGATGGATGCAGTTTATTGGACTTCTGTTGGGACTATTGAATATCACCACCCATTAACTGCCATTATAAAGCTTGGAACACCCAGGACATTTTTAAATAAAACTCAGATTGTATTTGTCTGAAAGAAGAACATCATCTACACCTAGGATGGCTTGAGGGCGAGTAAATCATGGGGTAATTTTTATTTTTGGGTGAACTATCCCTTTAAAATTTTAAGTGAATGGAATAGAAATATGCATTAAAGCTAAACATTTCAAAAACACTAAAGTTGTGCAACATAATTATTTTATCCTAGACTTACAGAACTTTAATAATAAAGTTGTAGATAAAGCACCACTTTCTCAAAAAATATAACATTGAACACTTGAAAATAGTTCCAAATAGTAGGTTAGTTTATATTACATCTTTAATCAGCATCATAAACTAGTGATATTTGACTAAATTGGCCCCAAACAGAAAGGCTTGTAATAGGAGGACATTTCAATTTAAAATCAAATTTGACAGGCATTATCATGGACACCTATGTGAGCACATGGCCTTGGTGGGAATATTTCAAAAGTAATTTTTAAAGTTAATACATACCATTTGACATGTATACCTAAGAATACCTGACCATACCCTAAGTAATAATAAATAAATAAATAATACATAACATACATTTTAAACATTATGTTATATAATTTAATAATAATACTATTTTAAATTAATATAACATTAAAATTATTTGATGTATTATATTTAAATTTATTATGCTATGATTCAGTTTCTACAGAGAAATAAGCATAAAATATTTTCATTTGCATTTATTCATTTCAGCTGTATCTGAAGGTCACTTGAATTTATTTATTTCTCTGTAGAAACTGAGTCATAGCATAATATATGTATATATATGTATGCATACAGTGCCTTCCACTAATATTGGCACCCTTGGTAAATATGAGCAAAGGTGGCTGTGAAAATAAATCTGCATCATTTATTCTTTTGATCTTGCATTCAAAAAATTCTAAATTATCATTGAAGTAAAACAATGGAAAGTGGGGGGAAAATCTCATTATGAAATAAATGTTTTTTTCTAGTACATGTTGGCCACAATTATTGGCACCCAATTATTGCAACTTCCTTTTCCCAAGATAACAGCTCTGAGTTTTCTCCTATAATGCCTGATGAGTTTGGAGAACACCTGAAAAGAGGTTAGAGACCATTCCTTCATACAGAATCTCTCCATATCCTTCAGATTCCCAGCTCCATGCTTCTTCTCTTCAGTTCACCCCACTCATTTTCTATAGGGTTCAGATCAGGGAACTGGGACGGCCATGGCAGAAGCTTCCTTTTGTGCTCAGTGACCCATTTTTGTGTTGATTTTGATGTTTGTTTTGGATCATTGTCCTGATGGAAGATCCAGCCACGACCCATTATAAGATTTCTAACAGAGGCAGTCATTTTTTATCTGTTGGTATTTGATAGAATCCATGATGCCATGTATCTGAACAAGATATCCAGGACCTCTGGCAGAAAAAATATTAAAGATCCAGCAGTATATTTAACCATGGACATGGGGTACTTTTTTATCCCTGTTTGCACCAAACCCATCTGGTGGGTTTACTGCCAATAAGCTCTTTTTTTAGTTTCATCTAACCATAGAAGCCAGTACCGTTTGAAGTTCCAGTCGTGTCTGACAGCTGAATATGCTGGAGTTTGTTTTTAGATGAGCGAGAAGGATTTTTCTTGAAACCCTCCCGAACAACATGTGGTGATGTATGGGCTGTTTGATATTTATTTATTTATTTATTTTAGACTTTCTGAGCCCAAGACTCAACTCATTTCTGCAATTCTCCAGCTGTGATCCTTGGAGAGTCTTTGGCAACTCAAACTCTCCTCCTCACTGTGCATTAGGACGATATAGGCACACGTCCTCTTCCAGGCATATCTGTAACATCTTTAGTTGATTGGAACTTCTTAATTATTGTCCTGATGGTGGAAATGGGGATTTTCAATGCTTTAGCTATTTTCTTACAGCTATTTTCTATTTTGTGATCAGAACTATATTCCTTGATTTTACTCCTTATGATGGACGATTAAGGGAATTTGGCCTTTGTGTTCCTCATGTTTATAATCCTGTGGTACAGGAAGTCATGGCTGGACAATTTCATGCTCCTAGTCACCCTGGTGTGCTAAACAATTGTAAATATGAATGGGAATATACTTCAGAGATATTTTACTCATAAGAATTTCTAGGAGTGCCAATAATTGTGGCCAACATGCATTGGAGAAAAACAATTATTTCATAATATGAGTTTCCTCCCACTTTTAATTGTTTTACTTCAATGTAAGGTTAGAATTTTTTGAATGAAAGATCAAAAATGAATTATGCAGATTTATTTTCACAGCTGTCATTGCTATATATACACAGTGCCCTCCACTATTATTGGCACCCTTGGTAAAGGGTGGCTGTGAAAATAACTCTGCATTATTCATATTTGTTTTAGTTTTTTATCTTTCAATTAAAAACAATCTCAAAATTACAACCTTTCATTGAAGTAAAAAAAACTGAAAGATATTGAAATATATATATATATATATATATATACCTGGTTTACCTATCATCTCTCTCCATCACTCTATTAATCTCTTCTGTCTAGACATCAGTTTTTCATTCTTATTCACTGATGTCCTTTATTACAGTATGTAGGGTCATTCATATAGAATGTGTTTTTTCTTTGAAAAACTCAAGACATGGGCACTGGAATGAGAAAAAAAAAGCCAGGTCTTGAGATGCATTTTTTTTAAAAGTTGAACTTCTTTTAACTTGAACGTCTGCTTTTTAGAACACCAAACATGTCCATCTAGCACGTGTTTACATAGAAAGACAATGAAAAAGTAGTGCAGTGAAAAGGAAAAAACTTGTTCTGTGTGAATAGCCCTTATGAAGTGTTTTATTGGTCACTCTGTTTCTACACACAACAGACCTTTACTTATGTACGTGTATAATAATGTCACTTTCTAAGGTGTGTGGTGAAGATCACTGGAGAGATGGTGTTGTCCTTCCCAGCAGGCATCACACGGCATTTTGCAAATAACCCCTCGCCTGCTGCGCTAACCTTCAGCATAACCAACTACAGTCGGCTGGAACACGTCCTTCCTAACCCTCAGTTACTGTGCTGGTAATAGCATTCATCTAACATCAACTACAACAGAACCTTCACAGACCATAAACTCCATCATATTTATTGACTAGTGATAATTATATATTTCCTCATTAGTCACACAAATTAAGCAGCAGCCATCAAATATATTATCAATTATTGCTTATGCACTTTCATAATTAGTAATGGAAGTGATTGGTAATGGAAGGAGAGTTAATACTTCAGTATAGCTTAGCACATCCTCTCAGTGTGAGATCTCACTTCAGAATCCATCCGTACAGTCAGCTGAGGGTGACTCACATACTGTATCACTAATCACGTGTGATCTCCACACTTTTGGAGGAGTAGTGTGTCATTGTCTTTTTTTCTGAGGGAATGTGATCGTTCACTGATCTTGCAAAAGCATTCTTGGCTATATACACTACTGTTCAAAGGTTTGGGGTTTAATGCAAAGTATTATATGCTCACCTAGGCTGCAATTATTTGATCAGAAATACTGTAAAATGGTAATATTTTGAATCATTTTAAAAATGTAATTGATTTCTGTAATGGCAAAGCTGAATTTTCCTCAGCCATTACTCTAATCTTCAGTGCCACATGACAGAAATCGTTCTAATATGCTGATTTGCTGCTCAGGAAACATTTCTTTTTATCAATGTTGAAAACAGTTGTGCTGCTACATTTTTTTCAGGATTCTTTGATGAATTGACAGGTCAAAATAACTATTTGGAAATTTAAAAAAAAAAATAGTAAATGTCTTTACTGTCATTTTTGATCAGTTTAATGCATAATTTCTGAATAAAGAAATTTAAAAAACATATTGACCCCAAACTTTTGAAGGGTGTTCAGTAGGGCTGCACGATTATGACAGAAATCATAATCGTCGATTATTCCCTTGAAATTGTAATTGCGATTATTAATTACGATTATCACAATTTACATTGAATGATGTTTATACCATTGTGTGAAGCAACTGCATGCCATATTTTTATATGAAAATAAACAAGCTGAAAACACTCTTAACTGAAAAACTTTTAGTGCTTTTCTATAGCATTAAGCCTCAAATGTCAACTATACATCGGATTGGTTTCTTCTTTAAATGATAAAAAAAGTAATAATATAAATGGTGTTATGGTGTTATACTAAAATTAAAACAATGGAAAAACCATTAAGATAACATGTAGAAAAAAAAAAGCATCTTAAGCACACAGAATAACATAAGTGGACTTTGAACGATTAATTGACGCTTTGAACGATTACGTAATTGTGGCATCCATAATTGTAATCGCGATTAGAAATTCGATTAATTGTGCAGCCCTAGTGTACAGGAAGATACAGGAAAAACAGATAATAGCTAATTAGTTGAGTATGATTTGCAGATTGAATGCACTTTCAAATTTCCTACAGTGACACCACGCAGCCCAATCCAAACTCAAAGGAGTTCTGGGTGAATATGCCGAACCTGATGACCCATTTAAAGAAGGTGGCGGAGCAGAAACCACAAGCAACTTACTACAATGTAGACATGCTGAAATATCAGGTGAGACCCTCAAAGCAATATTGACTACAGAGACATAAGAGTACTTGAAGTCATTAGATTTGAGAAAATCTAGAACTGGTATTTACTTCATATCTTACGTAAGTGGTTCTCTATTGGTTTTGCTTCAGGACCCAGATTTGACCTTGGACATCACGTAGTGACCTTGTAAAGTTCTGAAATTGTTAATTTGACGAAATAAAAAATGTAATTTAAAACAAACGAATGATAAAATTAACGTTTACCATTTCATACCATTTTGTTTTTACAAGAATGAGGCTATGTCATTAACACTTCATTACCAAATTTGCCTCAGGTGTTACAGAAGGGTCTACATTGTTCAAAAGTTTGGGATCTGTAAGATTTTTTTTACTTAGTCTTTAAAAGAAGTCTCTTATGCTCTGCAAGGCTTCATTTATGTGATCAAAAATAGAAAGTAAAATAGAGTAAAAACAGTAATTCAGTCCACTCCTCTAAATCTAGCAGTGAGCTGGAGGTGTGAGCCCACCAGTACTGATCTGAGGATAGACTACAAATACAACGGTGGTGCCATGACCACTCCTGTCGCCCTCAACAATGTTCAGTTCCTCATCCCTGTGGACGGAGGCGTCAGCAAACTGCAGGCTGTGCTTCCTCCAGCTGCCTGGTGAGAGATGGACTGGAGTCTTCTATTAATTTACTACTAGTCTTCAAAAATATAAGTGTCATTGTGAAAATAAAGCATTGTGATTGTATTAGATTGCGAGTTTGAAAAAATGATACTATGACTTGTACTAGATGTGAAGGAAGAGCATTTTTGACAGATCAACAACATTCTTTCTTTCTAGATAATATAATATTTTTTATTGCTATGTTTATAGGAATGCGGAACAGCAGAGAATCTTATGGAAGATTCCAGATATTTCTCAGAAGGCTGAGAATGGAGGTCAGATTCATGGTTCATTCTTGTGTGTATATATACACTTATAATAATTCACTTATAATAATTAGTAATAAATTAATTGCTTCTCTTTATTTCATCCACCCTTTTTTTCCCTCTGTCTTCAGGTGTGGGATCTCTGCTGGCCCGTTTCCAGCTATCAGAGGGTCCCAGTAAACCCGCTCCGGTGGCAGTGCAGTTCACCAGTGAGGGCAGCACTCTGTCAGGCTGTGACATTGAGCTGGTTGGCCTTGGATATCGTTTTTCCCTCGTCAAGAAGAGGTTTGCAGCAGGTGAGTTATGCCAGCGACAGTGCTGTCAAGCGATTAATCGCGATTAATCACGATTAATCACATCCAAAATAAAAGTTTTTGTTTACATAATATATGTGTGTGTGTACTATGTATGTTTATTATGTATATATAAATACACACACATGTATGTATATATTTAAGAAAAATATGTTACGTTTATATATTAAATATATTTATATATGATATAATTTATATGAATATAAATATATACATGTAAATATTTTCTCAATATATGCTGTATGTGTGTGTCTTTATATATACATCATAAATATACACAGTACACACACATATATTATGTAAACAAAAACTTTTATTTTGGATGCAATCGTTTGACGGCACTAAAAATAAATGTATTCTATCATAATATATTTGAAAATATTTGATGGCAAAACTGAATTTTCAATTCAATCACATGATCCATCAGAAATCGTTTTATTATGCTGCTTAATATTTTGGAATTTTTTCAGGATTCTTTGATTAATAGAAATTCCAAAAGAACAGCATTTATTTGAAACAGACACATTTTGTAACATTATAAATGTCAAAAGTTTGACTCCAAACTTTTGAACGGTCTAAACTATACATAATAATAAATTGATTGCTTCTCTTTTTTTCATCCACTCTTTTTTTATATCTTCAGGTGTGGGATCTCTGCTGGCCCGTTTCCAACTGACTGAGGGTCCCAGTAAACCCGCCCCAGTGGCAGTGCAGTTCACCAGTGAGGGCAGCACTCTGTCAGGCTGTGACATTGAGCTGGTTGGCCTTGGATATCGTTTTTCCCTCATTAAGAAGAGGTTTGCAGCAGGTGAGTTATGCCAGCGACATCTGTTTTGATCATTAATTTACTAGGAATCTTCTGGAGAGTCAGAATTTGAGATTATCAAGGCATTGTGAAAATAAGTTACGCTGTGTGTGCTTTTATCATAGGAAAATACATGGCAGACAACTAAACAACGCCATGCAAGTCTGCATATTTTGGACCAATTCTGAATATTTAAAACACAGGACATGACCCCAACCTGACCTTTGTAGATGTACAATACAGGTGGACCTCACACACACACACTCCAGAAGTATTATTGTAAAATTGCATTGTAAAATGTGGACCGTTTTAGGGTGTACTTCTTATAATTGTGAACTGTATTCACTTGGCAACATCTGTATTAAGGCAGTTAAACGACCTGGGTTTGTTCGTAAGATTAAGCCTCTATTTCTGTTCGACGTGTTATTGGCTGTGCCTACGTGAACCTGAATTCTCTGTATCCTTCTCTAAAAGTGATACTGAACATGTGGTTTTTATTACTCTATGCATTCAGTTTGTCAAAAGTATCCAATTTTCGAACAAGGTAGCAAAATAGTACGATGAACAAAAGAGGAATGAGCCTCTGCCACAAGATGGCGCTATACTGTTGCATGTAGTATGAGGTCTGCATCGGATTTTGGTATTGCTCAAGCTTATTTAGTTATGAAAACGTATTCAGGAATATCTCATTTTAATTTACACACCGCAGTCAGGTTCATTAAATGGAAAATGTTAGAAATTATATTTTGTCAAATCTGTTTTTAGACAGCCACAGCTTTAAAAATCTCCTGCTTGCAATAGACTCACAAAAAAATGGTTTTCCTCAACAGAAAAGTCATTTTAAATTGAAAATATATATCTTGAAGGCCGTTTGGTGTTTTCTTGTATTGTTAAATAGCCTTTCTGTTGTTCTAGAAGTAACAGTGTTAGACATCAGAGTAGCTACATGACATCATTCTATTTATTTTTTCATGATTTGTTGTATAAAAAAAAACGAAACAAGTTACACTGTATATGAATAGACTTTGAATGGTATCATAATTTAGGATCCTTCAAGTTTTTGACTTTTTGTTATCTGTGTAGTTGGGTAAGCTGTGTACAGTATAATGCCGAGGTATAATTTTTAAATTTATTTCAGATATAATTTTTTTAACTCAAGTGCAACAGAAAATGTATGCTATATTGGGTCAGGGGGTGACATTTAAAAGAGAAAATGAAACAGGATACTGTATCTACCTAGATGCGTCATGCTTGATGTTATTACAGTGTTATGTATAGCAGCACTATTAGTTCAACATGGATTGTCAGCTTTTGGACATTGTAAATTCTTTTATCATTCACACAGATGTGTTTGTATCCAGCCTCTCCCCCGCAGCACATGTTATTGAGTGTCCTGAGCATGAGCCCCTGCGCTTCAGAACATCTTTATTTTGCAAATGGTAACGGTCTCTGTGAGATGACAAGGTTCTCGAGTGGTTAAATGACCAAATCGCTTTTTCTTTTCTTTTCATTTGTATGTGTATCTCAAGAATTGTCCTTTAAGAGAAACTAAGCTGCATATTTTTTAAATGTTTAAACCTATGAATAAAGTGAAAAATATCGTTTCTTGTGGAAAAAAAATGAAAAGGAAAAAAACACTGTGTTACTGTTTAACTTCCCAGATGCTCTGATGTTCAATGTCAAGAACAAACATTTTGGTTACATCTTTGAGTGTCTGATGTAGACGTTGTGATGGTTTGGAGAAGAATATACTGGTGCTTTGTGATTCATAGGTTTCCATCCACATTTAAGGTTAAGGATGAGCGCCGCCACCAGTTAACACTGCATTGCATATTTTCTGAGCACTGTAATTATAGGGTTTTTTATTGCAGAGTTCAATCGAAGAACAATTTGAGTCTGTCAGCTGAAAGAAAAAAACCTATGAATTCAATTGTGTGTAATGCTTAATCAGTATGTCTACATGGTCTAAATTGAAACGTCACTCAGATGCGCAAAAGAAAAGAGAAAAGTCATGTCAGTTTAGATGTAGGTGGAGCTGTGTGTGAATGTT